ATTTAAATGAAATGGTTTAATATCTACAAAATATAAAATATTTAATAAAATAGAGAATAGATATTCTAATACAAATTCATCTCACAAAGAAAAATCAAAGAAGCAATAAATGAATTTCCAAAAGAAAAAATTCCAACAATAAGAACCATCAAATATTTAAGGAATAATTAATCCCTATGCTACATAAATTATTCTCCAAAATGGAGGAAGAAATGCTCTTTGAAACTACTTATATTAGGACGTATGATTCCAATGCTTAAACCAAGGAGGGATAAAGTGAAGAAAGAAGGTATAGACTAACATCACTAATGGACAGTGACATGAAAATGTAAAAAATCATAAAGAACATATAAAAATATGTCTGTATTATTCATTATGACCAAGCTGGATTCACACTAGGGATGCTCAAGACTAGTTCAACATTAAGAACACAAATGGTATAATTAATCACGTAAATAACAAAAACAATATAATTATATTAATTGATGCATTCTTAAGATGTATTTTGTATTAAAAATACACACAAAAAAATATAGGTGTGGATTGTCTTTTCTGAGTATGATTAAAAGAACTTATCTTAAGCCAAGGGCTAGCATTTATCTGCACCTGAGAAACAATGGAATATTCCCAAATAACAGCAGGACTAAATTAGTAAGGATGCCCCCTGTCTCCACTATGATTTGACAAAATACTAGAAATGTACACTATAGCAATATTATTGGAAAAATAAATTATGGGAATAGGCATTGGCAAAAAGGAGGGCAAAATTATTCCTTTTTGTAGATGACTTGTTGGTTTTTTCAGAAAACTTTAGAGAATCAACGAAGAAGCTAATGGAGACTAGTGAGAGGTAGAGGACCTTGGCTCTACGCTTGTCTCTTCTCTTATTCTTGATAAAGCCTGGGTGAACTTGGGCAGGTCCCTTCACTTCCTTGGGCCCAAATTTCCTCATCTGTAAAACGGGTATAAAAGCATCCACCTCACAGCACTGGTGTGAGGACCAAATGAGTTACCACCTGTAAAGCACTTTGCCAAACCTTAAAGCCCTATACCATGTGCCAGCTATTATTACTACAAGGAAACAAGAACTGCCATATCTTGACAGAGACAAGACCAGACATATGGAATGAAATATACATGTTCAGAAATGGCCAATGTGTTCATGTGTTTAGCTTGACCACACAACCTGTGTTTCCTTACTAGGGAATTTCCTAAACCAGTGAAATCACAAGTCTAGCTCCTATTCTTATTTAGAGCTAAACTAAAGTGCAAAAAGGTACTTCCTAAAATCAGATAGATTTAATAGAATATAGAACAAAACTTACAGGAGCAAACAGTCAAGAATTTTAAGGGACATAATGAAAAAAGCCATGAATTAAGGGTGTCTGTAGCATCGCAGAATCTTAAAGATGATCATAAAGCACCAATTCTCAAAACCACTGGTACAGGTTCTCCAGAGAGCCTTTCTTGATCGCCCCAACTCCTGGTACCCTCTCTGCCAAACTCACTTGTATGTAACTGACGTATTCATTCTTGCTACACTAATTCTGCCTATACTTCTGTATGTGTCGGCATCCCCAGCATTTCAATGCTTGTTCTTCATGCCTGGAAAGCTCCGCCTCACAGGATCCCTCTTCCTCCATGACCCAATGTAAACACCATTTTCTACATCAAGTCTGTCCTGAACCTCTCAAACTACCTTGTTTCCTCTCCCCCCAGCCTCGGTAGAGGGAGTTCCTCATCCAAGATCTCCTCACATCAAACCCTCCCATTTGTACATGTCTTTATTGTCTCCCCCGTTAACATAGAAGCTCCTTGAGAGTTGGGATCATTTCTTTCATTGTCTTTGTATTATTCCCTGTGCCTAGCACAGTTCCTGGCATACAGCAGGCGCTTAGTAAATGCTTGTTGATTAAATGACTGTGTCACCTGCAAATTAGCAAAGTCACAAACAACACAAAGCCAAGCACAAAATCCCTGTATACTCAATCCATTAGAGACCTCTTTCCAAACTGACTCCAAACCATTTATGACTATTCTTTGGGTTAGGCCAGGTTCGATAGGTTTCATACAGGTTTTTACTGGTCACGTTTGCTAGAAGTGTTTCAACAAATCTGTTATTTTTTTTCAAGTTGTTACTTTCTTTTTTGTTGTGCAGAAAATTTTTAATTTTAGTTTAACCAAATATACTTATTTTGTCCCTAATTATTCTTATTTAATAAAAAGATATCTTTCCACCACGAGTGAGATAAGCATTTCATTTTCTTACTTTAATTTTTTTTAACATTTAAGTCTACTCAAGTCAAGTCAAGAAGCATTTATTAAGGGCCTACTATGTGTCTGCCACTGTACTAAGAAAAGCAAAAAGCAGTACTTGCTTTCTAGAAGCTCACAATGTAATGGAGGTCTATCATTCAGCTGGAATTCACTAATGTAAATGATGTGAGATGTGGGACTAAATTAATTTCCTACCCAATTGGTATTCAGTTTCCCCATGTTCCTTTATTAAATCATAAATTCTCTTTTTTGTTTGTTTGTTTGTTTTTGGCTAGGCAATGGGGGTAAGTGACTTGCCCAGGGTCTCACAGCTAGTTAGTGTTACGTGTCTGGGCCGCATCTGAACTCAGGTCCTCTTGAATCCAGGGCTGGTGCTCTATCCAGTGTGCCACCTAGCTGTCCTAAATCATAAATCCTTTTCTGGGGTTTTTATCTTCTATAAAAGTTTTAACCTTTTGTATACATTCAGTTCGATGTCTGGGTTTATTCTTCTTTTTCTTGTGCCTCATTCTGCTTTTGACCCAGCGCCAGATAATTTGGATGGCTGCTTTGTAGTAAGTCTGGGAGTTGTTGTTCAGTCATTTTTCTGTCTGTCTAACTCTTCATGACCCCACTTGGGGTTTTCTTGGCAAAGATACTGTAGAGGTTTGCCATTTCCTTCTCTAGCTCATTTTATAGATGAAGAAACTGAGGCAAACAAGATTAAGTGACTTGCCCAGGGTCACACAGCTAGTAAGTGTCTGAAGCTAAATTTGAACTCAAGAAGACCAGTCTTCCTGACTCTAGGCCTGGTGCTCTATCCACTGCACCACCTAGCTGCCCCAAGTCTAGGAGTACAAGACCGCATTTATAAGCATTTTAAATAGTGCTCCTATATAGTCCTGCCTCTTTATTTTTCTAGACATATTTCAATATTATTTTGTCCGGTTGTATTTAAACCTTGGTATTTTGATTGGTACTATATTAAGTATTTAAGTTAAGCTCAGGTGTACTGCCATTTTCACTATATTAACTTATACATCCGTGAACACCGTCCCTCTTATTATTTAGATCTTTCTTTATTTCAGTCCCTATAATTTTTTTCTTTCTTTTTTTTTTTGGGCTGGGCAATGGGGTTAAGTGACTTGTCCAGGGTCACACAGCTAATAAGTGTTACGTGGCTGAGGCCACATTTGAACTCAGATCCTCCTGAATCCAGGGCTGGTGCTCTATCCACTGCGCCACCTAGCTGCCCAGTCATTATAATTTTACAGTTGTCATTACATAGACCATGAATATTTCTAGGTAGGTTGATTCCCAAATATTTGGGAATATTCGTTACTATGGTAGATGGGGTTCTTGATCTCTTTTGCTAGCAAATAAGATGCAAATGATTTTGGTGAACTAATCTTGCATTCTATGACCTTCCCCAACTCATTTATTGTCACTATGAATTTTTGGTAGAAACCTTTGGCCTTTTTTTTTTTTTAGGCAATTGGGCTTAAGTGACTTGCCCAGGGTCACACAGCTAGTAAGTATTAAGTGTTTTGGTCTGAGGCCGGATTTGAACTCAGGTCCTCCTGACTTCAGGGCCAATGCTCTATCCACTGGGCCACCTAGCTGCCCCAACATTTGGATTTTCTAAGCACCCTATCATGTTAACTGCAAATAATATCTTGACCTCTTTGTTTTTAATGTTAATAACTCTATTTTCTTTTTTTGCCTTATTTGCAATTGCTAACTGCAAATGAAAATAATTCTAAGGTATGTGCCATTTCCCACTCATCAAACTGGGCAAAAATGGTAAAAGATGGAAAAAACAAATGTTGGTAGAGAGCTATGGGAAACCAGGCATATTAACTCACTGTTGGTGGAGCTATGAATTGATCCAACCATTCTGGAAAATAATTTGGGAATATGTTACAAAATTTACTAAACTGCTCAAACCCTTTGAGCCAGAAATCCCACCACTGGGCCTATATTCCAGGGAGGTCAATGACAGAAATAATGTTCCCATTTGTACTAAAACAGTCATAGCTGTCACAGCAAGAATTTGTAATGGCAAGAAACTAGAAACAAGCTATACACCTGATGACTGGAAATGCCTCAACAGAGAGTAGAGTATGAACAGAAGAAGAGCATGGCATGGTGGGGAGAGTGCTCAATTTGGAGTCAGAGGACCCAAGTTTGAGTCCTGGAGGTGCCACTTTTTCCTGTTGTGACCTTCAGCAAATAAGGAACCTCTCTGGGACCCACATTCTCTATCTGTGAAATGAGATGGCTGGACTGGGTGACCTCTGAGGACCTTTTTAACTCTGCTGCTATTATTGTAATATAATCTTATCTCTCCATCACAAATGACAAATAGGGAGAATTCAGAGACATGTGGAAGATTTGTATGAACTCATGTACAGTGAAAAAAGCAAAACCAAAGGAACAATATATACCGGAATACATTGAGTAAATGAAGTCAACACTGAAAAGCAAAAGAATTCAGGTCACATCCAATGGACTTTTGTGGGGAGGGGAGAGCTGAAATACTCTTCCTTTCTGTTAAGAAATGGTATACTATAAGAGTGGAAAAATCACATTTTATTTTGGTCCATGGCAATCATATTAGATGGTTTAGCTTATCTGATTTTTTTTTTCTATGGGAAGGTATTATGGGAGGTTATTTATTGGGAAATGACCAACAAACTGTCAACAGCAAATTCTGCTTTAGGAGGAGCACAGGAGCCACTTACCGACACCACTGGCACCCGAAGATTATCCCCTTGTAACCGGTTAAAAGTGGGGAATGTGCTCCAGGCTAGATACTCTCCAGAGGAGGAGGAGCCCAACAGAGCCACAAACAGAACCTCATGTTGGTACCGGACTGTTGGCTGCTCCTCATAGCTGCTACGCTTCAACCAAAAACCTAGACATAATATGGAAGTCAGAACCAAGGCATGGAAAACAAAGTCCTGAGCCCAGGGCGTGTTTAACACCAAGACGCAGATATGGGGGCCAAGGAAGCTATAATGGCAGATGAGAGCAGACACAAGATGCGGGGAGATGTGAAGAGGACTGAGAACAGGAGCTGGGAGAAGAAACGAGCAATGAGGGAAGGCCAAGAGGAAGGTTAGTGGTCCTAGCTTGGGGAGCCAAGTTTGGGAGATGACAAGGGCAGTTTCCAAATCCATGGGGAATTCATGGAGGCATAAAGAAGAGAATGAAAGAGGTCAAGTGTGGAGGGAGTACCTGGTACGTAGTGGGCTCTTAATAAATGGGTATTGCTTGACTATAACGAAGCCTAAGTCTGCAGGGCAATAAGTATGTCGGTCTGTAAGTATAAAAATGCTTTCTCTTTCCTGCTTTCTAATTGTAAATGTGCTCTTGCTATATGTATTCATATGTACACATACACACATATTCACATACATGTTACAATTATGATATGCTATCTATACATATAAATTTATATGCATACCTGTACATATAACATGTATGAAATAAGTCCAAAATGAAGGTGTACTCATATGTTTGCATGTTTGTTCACAGCTTTTTGAGGCCAGGCACTGTCTTTTGCCCCTTTTTGTATCCCCAGTATATGCCTGGCACATAGTAGGCACTTAATAAATGTTTATTGATTGATACACATCCTGTATGTGTGTGTGTGTATGAATGTGTATAAAAAAAATTCTGGAAAATGGGAAGTAGAGGAGATGGGTAGGGAAAAAAGTCAGATTCTTGGGTGAATGGTGCAGGTTGCATAAAAGAAGTTCTTCTGCAACCCTGCACGTGTTCTTAATTCTGGGGGACAAGATATCTACACCAAATGGGATGGTGCATAAAGTTGGTAGGCCAGGCAACAGGCATTTATAAAGCACCTAGTCCTATGGGCTAAGCACTGCTCTCAGTGATGAGAATATAAAGACAAAAGAACAGTGTCCCTGTCCTCTGGTGGCTCCTAATTTAAAACATGTGCTTCATTTGGGGTTATCTCATCTCAGAGATTAGAATGAATGTCTGTCATTTCACCAGGGTATAGGGCTAGAGGGCAGCCAAAGGATGTGTGTGGACACACTAGGAGGACAAGGCTAAGTGTTGCATCCCGGGGTTCTGGGGACACCATGATAGCCCCTTGATTCTGGGGTACAGAGGGCAGTGGATGAAGTTTGGGAGGGCCACAACATGAAGGTAGGTGTGTGGACTGCCTCAGTCTGCGGTGGGGGCTTCTGGACCACTTAGGTCTGGGTGGGGTTGGGAGGCACACCGAAGAGGGCATCTGGACGGCTTGGATCTGGGAGGGGCATCTGCACGGGCTGGGTCTGGGGGTTGGGGGGGCGTCTGGACGGGCTGGGTCTGGGAGTTGGAGGGGGTGCATCTGGACGGGCTGGGTCTGGGGTTGGGGGGGGCTCCTGGACGGGCTGGGTCTAGGGGTTGGAGGGGGGCATCTGGATGGGCTGGGTCTGGAGGTTGGGGGGGCGTCTGGACGGGCTGGGTCTGGGGGTTGCGGGGAACATCTGGACGGCCTCGGGCTGGGGCGGGGGTTGCACCCCCGGGGCCGGCCTCAGGCTGGGCCGGGCTCACCTTGACTCCGGAAGGCCACGAGCAGCGGCGGGATGTAGGTGAGGCTGGTGGCCAGCAGCAGGAAAATGGCGGCCTTGGAGCACAGCCCCGCGCGGTAGATGATCTCCGCCGGGTGCGAGTACAGATCATAGAGGGCCATGGCCGCCGTAGTGCTCCCCTAGGCTGGCCTCGGCTTTGGGAGCCCTGGGTGGAGGCCTGCGCTGCACGAGTCACCAACGCCTACAAGATTTGGCTTCTCCCGGTTGCCGTAGCCTTGGTCTCCATGGTAACCGTCCTACCTCGGTAAATAAGCCAATAGCAAGGCCGCTTTTGGATACCCTCTCTCTCAGCCAATCATATAGCGATGTGAGGGGGGCGGGGACCCGGGCTGGGCCAGAGGATGAGGTCTATGTGAGCCAAAGATACCTTGTATCTCCTTTCTCTGCGATTTAAGCTAAGAATGCGTTTCTGAAACATTATGTGCAAACAGAACAATCTTTTGTTTCTTCGGATAAACCGCATTGTGATTATATTTTTTTCAGATCCCCGAATAAGGCACCATCTCTAGCTATTCAAAAGGAAAGGAAATTCACGTGTATTTCCAACTCTGTTTATCATCAAATAAACAGTTGGTCTTCTGAAGTATTCAGGAACCAATCAAATGGAACACTGAATGCGTATATGCCACTTACTATCTTTAAAGCACTGGGTACACAACTCCCGAGGAGTCAGTCAATAAACATTTATTAAGCACCTATGTGCCAGACACTGTGCTAAGCAGTGTAGATACAAAAAGAGGCAAAAGACATTCCCTGGAGCTCACAGTCTAATGGGGAAAACAAAATAAAAAAGTGCTTTCAGAAAATGTTCGTAGCAGTACCATTTGTAACAGCACAAAGTTTCAGGTCCAGAAATAAAATTGTTTGGAAAACAACCCCTCAAGACTGTTTTCACTATGAATTCACAGTGCTACAGACAATGATTCCAGTTCTTAAGAACCCATCTTTTAAAGATGAGTTTACTCCAGAACAGAATGATGACAGTTTTATGTTTGCAAATCTTGATTTAAAACAATCTCCAAAGAGTAAAACTTGCCTGTGACCAGGCATAAATATTTTCAAAGATGATTAGTGTATAAAAAGTGGTGTAAGGGAATTCACTGAGTAAATGCATAATTAGAAAAGAAGGTAGCATGTGGCAAGAGCCACCGATGGATGATGACTCAAATGACGTACTGTTGTCAAAGAAATGTAAAAAGACCTAAGAACGGACATTTTTACTGATAGCAAACCTAAATTTACTTATTTATAACTTCCAAATGATGCAAATACAAACAGTGCCCTGAAAGCTAAAAAAAGAAAAAATAATAATTGAGGGTTGTTTTTCCAGTACCTTGTGAGGCCCCTCTTGAGCTTGAAGGCATCCTGGAGTCTCTTCCCCTTGTCTTGAGATATTATAAAACTTCCCCCCTATCCTGGACCATAAAAATTCCTTGTCTCCCTCATCTTGAGTCATAAAATTTCCCCTGTCTTCTTTATCCTGGGTCCCCTATTCTGTCATCCGTCTTCCTCATCCTGTGTCCTGAAAATTCCCCCTTATCTTGTAAGAAAAAACAGGCCCTGTGTCTCTGTAAGTTGCTGGTCCTCTTTCCAGGGCTAGCCCATGCTTTTTCATCAATAAAGCTCCCAATGGTAACCAAGATGTAAGTGAATTCTTTCAAACCTGAACCAGCTCTCTCAACTTGAAACCTCAACACATATATTTTTCCTGGTTTTGACCTCTGGGACCAAACTAGTGTAATCACAGTCCTTCAAGTATTTGAAGACAGCTGTCATATTCCCTCACTCCCACCTCCAATCTTCTACATCTCCAGGCTAAATATGCCCAGTTCTTTCCTCTTTCCTTCTTTCTTTCCTTCTTCTTTCTTTCTTTTCTTTTTTTCTTTCCTTCTTTCTTTCTTTCTCTTTCTTCTTTCTTTCTTTTCTTTCTTTCTTTCTTTCTTTCTTTCTTTCTTTCTTTCTTTCTTTCTTTCTTTCTTTCTTTCTTTCTTTCTCTTTTTTTTGAGGCAATTAGGGTTAAGTGACTTGCTCAGGGTCAGACAGCTAGTAAGTGACAAGTGTCTGGTCTGAGACTGGATTTGAACTCAGGTCCTCCTGACTCCAAGGCTAGTGCCCCTCCCAGTACTTTCAACTACCCCTCATATGTTCTAGAGTCAAAGCAGGCAACCATCCTCTTTATCTTCCTCTGACCCACCTAAAGAGCTAGGTGGCATAGTGAATAGAGCCCCGAGCTTAGTTAGGAAAGACTTGCTTCAAACACTTACTTATTAGCTGTGTAAACTTGGGCAAGTCACTTAACATGTTTGTCTTCCTTTCCTTATCTGTAAAATGGGAATCATAACAGCATAGGAAAAAATGAAATAATATTGATAAAGCACTTTGCAGACCTTAAGGCACTATATAAATTTTATTATTATTGAAGATAAATTTTGTCAAACTATGCTTTTTCTTTTGTTTTCTGAGGCAATCAGAATTAAGTGACTTGCCAAGGGTCACACAGCTAGTGTCTAAGGTCAAATTTGAACTCAAGTCCTCCTGACTCCAGGGTGCAAACTTTGGAATTAGGGGCAACTAAGTGTTGCAGTGGATAGAGCACAGGCCCTGGAGTCAGGAGGGCCTAAGTTCAAATTTGACCTCAGACATACAAGACTCACTAGCTGTATGACCCTGGGCAAGTCACTTAACCTCAATTGCCTCATTGTGAGAAATGGAGGAGTTAAGTTTCCCCTTAAGTAGATAAGAATCAGCACAGACAAGCTAACTTGTGGGGGGGGGAGTGACAACACAATTCTAGGCACACAATGTGTGTTAAGGGTGGGGCATATAAGGAAGATTGTAACCCAGAAGGATTAGGACCAATCCTGATCCAGGAGGGAGAGTTAGGCAATTACTAACTCTAAAGCTTTCTCTGGCTTCTTCACTCAGTGCAACTCTCCCCTTCAAAGGAGGTGTGCCCGCTTCTCTTGAGAACTGAAAGGGTGCACTTCAACCTCTTTTGTCTTTGAGACACCAGTCTTTGGAACTGAGTCTGGGGTTTTCTTTATGATACTCATAAAAAAAACACAAACAAAAAGAACTTTGGAATTGATTGTGTTGTTGAGGTTTAGGCGTTCTGGGACCCCAAAATCACAACACGGGGGTCCTGCCTTCAAGAATTCAACCTAAGCCTTCTTTCAGCCAAGGCAAGGTTTATTAGGACATCCCTCAAATTGGGCAGACTCTTAAGGAGTCTTTATGTTAGTGAGCTAATGGCTAGATTAAAAGAATCTAAACCCATGGCTAGATTTTTAAGAATCTAAGCATCTTAATGGAGACAAGGTGGACCTTATATACAGAAAGACTGTGGGAGGGACCCAGGAGTGGCCTGGGGCAACTGGAGGAGGGGTCTAAGAAAGATCTGAATGGGAGTGGCCAGTAAACTGGGATGAACAGAACACCTGGGACCTAACCTTGTGGCCAAGGGAGAATGGAGCCTAGCTAGGATTAAGGGTGGAAAATGGCCAGGGGCCATAGGGAGGTAACAGAATTGGGAGATTGGGTGTAGCCACAATAAAAGGCCAGTTGATGGGATTATAGCCTCAGGTAAAAGCCAGATATTTGGCCATGTAGGAAGGTCCAGAGTTTTTCCTTTTTGGAGTCTAGCTCCCATCCTCATCAGTGTGACATGGGAGACCCTGGCAAAGGACCGCTCAGCATGACATGCCCACATCCAAAAAGGTGCTGTGCTCTATAAGCTAAGCAGAATTGAGGTAGCTCAAGAGAAACACAAGATATAAAAATCCACCCCAAGGGTTCACACAGACTATTTGTGCCTGACCTGTGGTAGAATGTTCTGAGCTCATATTGGTCTGATCAGCCACAGTCTGACACACTAACACTTGACTCTGTCATAGAGTTGTCATTTTGGTCCTCTTCAAAAACAAAGGACAACACAATGACCATGTCACTCAATTGCCTCAGGGAAGGCCCCCAGGAAAAAAGACTCCTCTCAGCTTTAAGATCTATTTTTCTGTAAGCAGTTAAGTTTGAATGGTTTTTTGGAAATGACCTCACAGTAAACTACCAATTCTCAATCTTGTTGTACATGAACATAGCCAGCCATTGAGGAGAGGTATAAAAGATCCCAACCCAGAAAGAATGCAAACCAAGGCTGATACCTGGAAACTGAGATGTGGTGTTTTTTTTTAATTTAAGAGATTAACCAATTTTGCCAAAGGATTTCATTGAGATTCTTCGGTACAAGTCATTGGAGAGAACACTTAAAAATGATAATGCTAAAATTTCTCCAGGATCCCAGAAACATTTCTGGAATTAGGGATATGGGATATGGACAAATGTGCCAATTGTGCCCTCATTTAATTAGCTAAGAACAGGAAGGTATACTGCATGATTCTAAAAAGTTTCTACTCTTAACCGTGAACTATGCTGTAATTCTCTCTCCCTTTGGAACTTCCACTGAGGGGCTCCTCAAGAATATTTCCTCACCCTTGAGAAAATGGTTACATCCCATGCATTCACATGGGATGTAGATGACATGGTTTGGGGTTGCTGGGAACTCCAAAATGTAACGGTGCAGGGGAATGATGGGGTGATGGGACTTGGACCCCTAAAAGGAAAAGACAGTGTCTTTGAAAGCAACCTAATCCCTGGGTAACTGTGGAGGGCACTTATTGTATGAAACATTTGTTTATCATTGTTTTACTATCATCTCATTTGATATTCCCCAAAACCCTCGGAGGTAGACACTATTATTATTTCCCATTTTTGCTGTTCTTGTCCTTATGATGACTCACCTGTCTTCCATGATCTTTCATATATCACTAACCATAATTCAGCCATCATAGCTGCCAATTCATTTAGTACCTAAGCACCTAGTTAATCTGGATCAGGTAACTTAAATTCATCAAGAGCATGTAGGTGCCTTTTTACTGTCTCCTTGTTTGTTTTGGGTATCAATTTTTTGCTAGTCATTTTTGTTCTATTATTTCCAGTGCAAAGGGTCTCTTTGGCAGAGGAATCAGAAGTAAAATATGGACTGAACAATATATCCTTCTGTTTTCAGTTGTCCTTCCATGTACCTTAGACAAATACTTTTTTGATACACACACACACACACACACACACACACACCTGTAATCTCCTGGCTAGCATTTTATTTAAAATTTTTGTATTGGTATTCATTAGGGAAATTGGTCTATAGTTTTCTTTCTCTGTTTTGG